AAGAGGTTCCCAAATTTATCAAGAGACTTAACCTACAGATTCAAGAATCTGAATGACTCCCAAAAAGGATAAATCCAAACAAATCTATGCCATGACACATCATAGTTAAACTTGTGGAAACTAAAGACAAATGAAAAACCTTGAAAGCATCCAGAGAAAACTGAGACTTTACCCACAGGGGAAAAACAATTCAAATGACAGCAAATTTCTCATCAGAAACCATGGAAGCCAGAGGGAAGTAACACAATGCTTTTCAAGTGCTGAAAGAAAAGAACTGTCAAGAATCCTATACCCAGTGAAAATATCTCTAAGGAATGAAGGGAAAATGAAGCCATTTTCAGAAGAAAGAAAGCTAAGAGTATTTGTCACCAGGAGACTTATCCTAAAAGAATGGCTGAAGGAAATTCTCTAAACAGAAAAGAAACAATAAAAGAAGGAATGTTGGCATATCAGGAAGGAAGAAAGAACATAGTAAGCAAAAATATGGGTAAATACAATAGGCCTTCCTTTTCCTCTTGAATTTTCTAAGTTATGTTTGACAATTGAACCCAAAATTATAACAATCTGATGCTATAATTTTTCTTCTATATACATATATAAATGTATAGAGGAAATATTTAAGACAATTATATTATAAGTGGGGAGGGGCAAAGGGACGTAAAGTTTCTATAGTTCACTCGAACTGGTAAAATGATGATACCAGTAAACTGTGACAAGTAATGGATATATAATGGAGTACCTGGAGCAGCCACTTAAAAGTATACACTTTTAAGAGATACACTAAAAACACCATAGATGAATCAAAATGGGATTCTGAAAATGCTCAAGCAACCTGTAGGAAAGTAGGAAAAAGAAGACAGGTGTGGGCAGACCAGGAGGAAGAGAACAAACAAAACTTTAAATGGCAGACTGAAACCCTAAACATATCAATAATATATTAAATGTAAATGGTCTAAGTACACTAATTAAAAGACAGAGATTGGCAGAGGTGATTAAAAAACACATCCTAACTATATCCTATCCACAAGCAACTCACTTCAAATATAATGATAAAGGCAGATAAAAAGTAAAAGGATGGAAAAAGATATATCTTGCAAACATTAAACAATGTAAAGCAGTAGTGGTGATATTAATATCAGATAAAGTAGACTTCAGAGCAAAGAGAATTACTATAGTTCTGCAATATGTTACCATAAAGGGAACCTGAGCAAAAGATAGACTGGAATTCTCTGTATTATTTCTACAACTACACATGAATCTACAGTCATTTGAAAATAAGTTTAATTTTAAAAATTTCATCAGGCTCATTTTTGATCTTCTTACTGCAGGCAACAGTTTTGTTATCACATAACATTGGTCACCATTTTTCAAGGTTGCAATATAATTTCGTGGTTGTGTAGTACTCCAGATTCCCCACACTGCCACCAGCCTCAAATATCAATGTAGGCCTTTTGTGGGGGTGGGGGAGGCAGGGGAGAATGTCATTATTCCTGATATGTGAAGAAAACCTGACCATTTACCAGAGAATGAAAACAAAGGAAAACTAGAGAATGATCAAATCCCTAGTTTTAGTCCCTGAAGGCCTAGGCTGCTTTTGTTTCGGAATTACCTCAGTAGCCTTTTCTTTTTTAAAGCACAACTTTTTCATTTTTTATTAATGTGCATGAATTGGATATATACTGCTTAGTGAATTTTTAAATTAATAACTTTATGTTTAGAGCAGTTTTCGGTTTATAGAAAAATTGAGTGGAAAATACAGAGATATTCCCATATTTTCTCTAGCCCCTCACCCCAGTTGTGCTATTGTATACATCTTCCATTAGTGTGGTTTGTTACGTTTGATGAGCCAACGTTGTTACATTATTATTAACTAAATCCATCGTTCATTTTATGATTTTGTGAAATGTATAATGCTGTGTTTCCACCATTACAGTATCACACTGAATAGCTGCACTACCTAAATATCTCCTGTGCTCCACTTATTTACCCTTCCCTCCCTCCGCTTGAACCCCTGGCGATCTCTGATCTTTTTACTGTCTCCATAGTTTTGCCCTTTCCAGAATGTTATATAGCTGAAATTATATAGTGTGTAGGCTTTTCAGAATAACTTCTTTCACTTAGCACTATGCATTTGTTTCCTCCATGTCTTTTTGTGACATAATAGCTCATTTTTCAAAATTGCTGAATAATATTTCATCATACTGATGCACCACATTTTGTTTATCCATTGACCTGTTGAAAGACATCTTGGTTGCTTCCAAGTTTTGGAAATTGTGAGTAAAGCTACTATAAACACTCGCGTGCAGGCTGTAGTGTGGACATAAGTTTTCGAGTCATTTGGGTAAATACCAAGGACTGGAACTGCTGCATCGTATGGTAAGGGTATGTTTAGTTTTGTGAGAAACTGCCAAACTGTCTTCCAAAGTGGCTGTGCCATTTTCATCCCCACCAACAACGAGAGTTCCTGTTGCTTCACATCCTCACCAGTATTTGGTTTTGTCAGTGTTTTGGATTTTAGCCATTCTAATAGATGTGTAGTGTTATCTCAATGTTTTATTTTGTAATTCTCTGATGACATATGATGTTGAGTATCTTTTCATATGCTTATTTGCCACCTGTATATCTTTTTTGGTGAAGTGTCTGCGCAGATCTTTGGCCCATTTTTAAATTGAGTTGTTAGTTTTCTTTTTGCTGGGTTTTAAGTATTCTACATACATTTTGGATACCAATCCTTTATGAGATATGTGTTTTGCAAAGATTTTCTCCCAACCTGTGACTTCTCTTTTCATTCTCCTAACAGTCTTTCACAAAGCAGAAGGTTTTTTTTCTGTTTGCTGAGGAAGATTAGCCTTGAGCTAACATCTGTTACCAATCCTCCTCTTTTGTTTTTTTGGTTGGGGAAGATTAGCCCTGAGCTAACATCTGTGCCAGTCTTCCTCCACTTTATATGTGGGTCACCACCACAGCATGGCTGATGAGTGGTGTAGGTCTGTGCCCAGGATCTGAACTTGCAAACCCAGGCCACCAAAGTAGACTGTGCTGAACTTAACCACTATGCCACGGGGCTGGCCCCACAAAGCAGAAGTTTTTAATGAATCAACTTATCAACTTTTTCTTTCATGGATTGTGCTTTGGGTGTTGTGTCTAAAAGCCATTGCCAAACCCAAAGTCATTTAGATTTTCTCATATGTTATCTTCCAGGAGTTTTATGGTTTTGCATTTTACATTTACATTTTGAGTTAATTTTTTGTGGAGGGTGTGAGATCTGTGTCTAGATTTATTTTTTTGCATATGTATGTACAGTTGTTCCAGCACCATTTGTTGAAAAGACTGTCTTTGCTCCACTGTATTACCTTTGCTCTTTTGTCAAAGATCATTTGGCTATATTTATGTGATTCTATTTCTGGGCTCTCTGTTCTGTTCCAATCATCTTGTCAGTCGCCGTCTAATAATTTCTATTTGCTTATGTTGATTTGAATTGAATTTTTATCAATTGCTGCTGAAATATCACTGATTAATTCAAGCACTTGGTACATGCCAAGCACTGTGCTAATCTCTTTACATAAATTTAATCACAACAGTCTTTTGAAATAAATGAGGAAACTTGGGGTTTGGGAGTTTAAGTAATATGTTCAAGATCATGTCACTAGTGAGTGACCCAGGTCTGTCTGCCTGTCTCTACAGTACTGCCTGTCAAAGATGACTTTGATAGTCCTTACTCAGACTATTACAGTTGCTCTAATAGTCTTCCTTCTGCTAATTACTGCCTTGAGTTACACTACAGTTGCCTTCTAGATTAAGCATTTAAAGCCTAACCTACCTCTGCCGCTTTTTTCTAGTACTCTCTTCGATGCTCAGTGGGGCTATTCTATGATCTTCTATTACACTCTCTGCTTTACTCTATCAGTATGTGACCTAACCTATTCCCTACGCTTGCTGCATCTCCAAGTATTAAGATTCCTTTTGTCAGAGGCCATCTCAAATGCCACCTTCTATATTGACCCTTCTCAATTTTGCATCCCCACCTCACCCTAAAACTGGAACTGAGTGCTCCCTCCTTGAAATAACTGAAGCATTTCATTTAAACCTCAGCTGTGGCACGTCTTATGCCTTGTGTTTTAGTTATATGAGTTTGACTCATCCTTACTACTAGACAGTTGTCTTCTTGACATCTTGTATACTGTGTAGACCCTGACATTCATTTAAAAAATTTCATTGAGTTCATAATATCTATACCAAAAACTGCACTAAATCGTGGGGTGGCAAAGACAAAAGACATCACCACTGACTTAAAAAAGTTTATAGTCTAGGAGGAGAGGCCAGACCGGAGTGCAGTTACTTTTCTGTAATTTGAGTTCTAATACGAAAGTAAACCTCCAGTACTGCGGGGCAGAGCACAGAGTACAGAGTACCTAATACAGTGTAAGTATGGGAAGGAGAGAAGACATATTAGAGGACAGCCATAGGAGTCAGGCTGCTGAATTAACAACATAGGCAGTAGCAGGAAGGCCTAAGAGAGCATCGCGGGTTTGGAGTGAAGCAGGGTTCACTATACTACAGTGTTTGAGCTCAAGAGCGGCAGAGGATAAAAAGGTAGGATACTCAAAGAAATTTCTGAGCCTTGCAAAGGAGTTTACATTGTTATCCTGAAGGACACGAAAATGATTGTAAGGTTTTAAGCAAGGAAATATCATGATCTCACTCCCGCATGGGTGGATCACTCTGACAGTTATATGGATCAGAGATTGGGTTAGCTGGGCCTAAGGACAGGGAGGGAGACCAGCTGGCAGGGTGTTGCAGTAGTCTAGGTTAAACAATGTTAGGATCTGAAGAGAGGACAGCTTTGAGAGGTTTAGGAGATAGAATTTATAAAACTTGATAAGGAGGTAAAGTAATTCTTTAAGCTCTCATATTCTCTACACGGGGGATCATCTGAACAGTAACTTTCTCATGCTGACTTAAGGAGATACTTTTTCCTATTCCACTGTATGTGTTGCTAGGATCCATCTCCTTCCTCCTGACCACCAGCAACGATCTCACCAAGAGAGCCTGTACTACCAAAGGCCTCTCCCGGGAGGGTCTGCCTTGTTGTCAGAGCCTCTGACGCTGCTAGAGACAGAGGAGCCGCTGCTCGCACTGCCGCCCCGGGAGAGAGGTACTACTAAAATGAAAATTACAGCTCGTCGTTTCTTAGAAGTAGTGTTAAAAGATAGGTACTTAGGTACTCATATGTTAAATGGCCACTTTATGGTCTATTCCAGGAACATAAAACTGTTTATGGCACTCCGATTACAAGTTCTAAACAAGCTTCTCTTAAAAAAAAGTGAAAGCTAAGTTGAGGGCTTCTTATCTATACTGCTGTACTGAGGAGTGGGGAGCAGTTCACCTCAGCAAGAAGGAATATTTTATTGCTGACATCGTTTAGAATTGCTGTCACATGATGATGATGATGATAAAGTAGACCTATTTTTAGCCTGTTGTAGCATTGTCTTTAAATTTTCTTGCAGCTAATGCTCCCTTGCTGTCTGCACCTGGAGCTGATGCTTCCATTCTCCCTTCCACCCCACCACTTGGTACACCTCTGCTTATTTATGAATTAGAACTTGGGAAATGGAAATCAGAGTTACCTTGTGAGACAAGGAAGAATTCTGAGGGAAGAAAGCCTGGACATGAATCTAGGTTCTCTATTTTACCAATAAAATGATCTTGGACTGGTAACAATTTCTGAGACTCAGTTTTCCCATAATTAAAATAGGGTTAAAATATTTATTTTGTTTGAATTAAATAATATAGTAATGTAATGTATCTAAACTACCTGGCACTTAGCATATATTCTCAACAAATATTAATTCTCTCCTGTAATTAATATTGTCTTATTTTCTGGCCTCTCAGGATGTTTTGAACATATTTGCTATGTTTAGGGAATTTCCAATCTTAACATAAGTGCTGCTTCCCCAAGCTAGACTCTGAAAATGAAATCTCCAGGCTCTCACAGCTGGGGGCACACGTGTGACCTAGGCATCCCCATTCAGCACACCTGCATGAGATTTGGAAGTTAGAAGCTTGGGGAAGAAAAGATTCTTCTTGGAAGCCAAGTTGCCAATAAAAGCATCTGACATTTGGGGGTGGCAGTGCTTGTGAGGTTGAATTCCTAGTGCAGAAGCAGCTTTGGTGGGCAGTGGGAGTGGCAGCAGGTGCCTATAGGTTTGTTGGTGCAGTGGTAAGTAGTGGCGTTGACTTTCTCAGTGGACCAGTTCTATGGGGTAGTTGCAAGCATCGTTCCTGGAAGCTTAGTTCCATAGCTCTTCCTCCAGCTTCCCAACAATTTTCTGAGTTCTCCCATCTCCTTTTAGTAAACTTATTTTCTGCTCACTCGGCCAGAATGAGCTTCTGTTACTTGCACCTAGGAGCCCTGACTGATACACATTTCTGCATTTGAAGCATTGTTACCTGGGAGTAACAGGCCAAGAAGAATGTCAAGGTAGAGGCAGTAACAGTATAATTATAATCACTTTAAACAAAGGTACATAATTCTGGAAAGCAAATCCTAGAAAAGCTTAGTGAGCTATAATTCAGTGGAGATTGAGAAATGCAGCTTTTGAGGAGAGTATATGTAATATTAGGATACTTTTGCCAAATTTCTCCTTCTCTATTACTAAGGGAAATAGTTAAGAGAACTTGGGCTTTCATGTTGCCCAGAAGAAATAATTTCAGAACCAGTTTATGAAAAAAAAATTTAATCCCTGGATATTGACTCTGCAGAGCCGTCCCAAATGAGTTTATCAATTCAAGTCAAAGCCAGAATCAAAATAAATCAGGCATTATATGGCGTATTAAATTTCTGGAGCTCAATTCCGTTCCCTTAATCTCTTAGCAGCAGTAACAGAGTGGGGGCTCTCACTCATTGCAGTGGGGAAATAACAAAGCCAGAGTAAAATTGCTGTTGCAAAATGAAGCACCTCACCACATTTCCATCGAATGCTTTAGAGTTCATGAATCTCCCAGGAGCCAGAAAAACACAGCGAAGTCTTTAAAAGTGAATCCAGATGTCACCCATCACCATAGCAGTGCTTTAATTATCAAAAAACAAAGAAATAACTCCTTAGGTACATTCTAAGCAGGTGTTTCTTCCCAGAAAACAGAATAACTGAAGAAACAGCTGGGGCATTATATCTGCTTCAAGACTAGGGAGGAAAACTACAGCCGAAATCACAGAGACTACCAGAGGGAGCACAGACAAGTCACAGTGATTGGAATTTTGCAAGAATTAGTCTACACAACATAATGACTGATTAATATTAATTACTCCATTTTACAGATGGGAAAACTGAGTGCCTTACACGGCAGCCATTTCTCATTCAAATTCTGTCAGTCTTCAGCAAGTTCACTACATAATGAACATATTTTGCAAGATCTTTTAATTTTACCATATAGCATGGAGTGGTTTTTTTAGAAAACATTTGTATATTTTAACACAAATAATCCATTCCATTTCGGGAAAGTTAGAAAATAAAGATAAGCAAAAAGAAACCTTAAAACCATCTCTACTAACTGATTTTTTAACTGGGATTTTATAACCAGGCCCATGGTTGGGGTCAGGGGATCTGTGAACCTCTGAAACTCAGCAAGAAATGACAGTGTGCATTTCTCTAGAGTGAGGGTCCATACCCCTTTTATCAGCTTCTCAAAGTGTCTATCATTCAAAAATTGAGAACTACCTCTATCCTCCTGGACTTTATATAATGTGACTGGAGGAACAAAGACACCACCAACAAAAGCAGTCACAGCCTGAGAAGGAAGATGACCTTTGTCTAAAATGTTACATGGGCCAAACCAAGTAGTAGTTTCTAATATTTGGCTTGGCCTTGGTGCAGTGGTCTTGCAAAATTATGGAACATTAGGAAAATATTTTCTTTCTTCCTTAAGGATTTTCTTTTTTGTTTTTGTGCATGTCTGTGTCCATGCAATCTAACAGTTACCTGCTGGACAAGTAGAAAAATAAAGAGATAAAGAGATGCTTTTGCAGCTCACATTGGTGGGAAGATCTGGCAGAAATAATAAAGTATCTGCAAGCAGCAGCAGAGTCAAGGTGGTGATATTGTGGCTGAATAATTAAGACCTGAAAATACTTGATGGCAGAGGAAAAAAGCCAGATGAAAAGGGAAGAGTGAGGAGATAAATAAGAAAGTGAAAGAACTGCTGAAGTGTGCATAAAAGAGCTGGGAGTAAGGGCTTCGTGACTGAAAATGAGAGGGAATTGGCGGACCATCTCCTTTGATGTTAATGAGACAGTAAAAAGGAAAAACACTGAGAGATACCCTTTGGTGAAAAACACTTAGATGGATAGGTTAATTGATGCATTACATCATCCGTTAACAAACTCTTAGAGAGAAGTTACTATGTGTGAAGCACTATGGATAGAAACATGCATAAGAAATAACTCTTGGCCCAAGGAATTTACAGCATAACTGGGGAGACAAATATAAATCAGTTCCGCAAAGCAGCGGAGTCACAAACGATGAATAGTAATGTTGGTGAGATCAAAGTGGGAGTGGTGAGGAAAGGCATTAAGGAATGGTGCTCGAAATGGGTCTTGAAATATGAGTAAGGTGTGTTGTTACCTGGCGGACAAGAAGAGAAAGGACAACCCAGGAGGAGAGGGCAAGCACCAAGGCCTGTGGGGGTGAGAAAGCATAGCTCATGGAAAGTGTCATGTAAACTGATGCGGTGGGAGAACAAAGGACTCAGTGGGCGTGGGCTCCCTAGTGATGCTGCTGGTTTCTGCAAAAGCCCAGGGCAAAAAAGGGAGATCCTCAACTACCGCAGTGACACTGGGGAGAGGGAAGAGAGGATAAGGAGAGAAATACTTAGAAAGTAAGAGTCTCAGGATTTAGAACCTCTTGGGAAAGCCGTTGTGAACCCTTGCCCCCAAACTGCACTGTCAACAAACAACATATTGATACCTTAAAGTCAGAATCAAAGTCCCACCCGCCTTTAGCAGACTATAAGAAATGGTTCTATGATGTCTCACATCTCTGTTTACCTCTGCTTATCTCATTTGGGCCAAGCTTCCCCCAAATTTGTTGTTAGTGCCATCCAGTCAATTCTGACTCCTGCCACCCTGTGGACAGCAGAGCAGAAGCCTGCCCACTCTTTCTGTGCCACCCTCTCACCTTCCAGCGCTCTACCAGACAGTGCTCTCTGCTATTCACAGGGTTTTCACGGCCAATTTTTCTCAAGTGGGTGGTCCTTCTCCCTAGTCTCATTCTGGAAGCTCCACTGAAACTTGTCCACTATATGTGACCCTGCTGGTATTTGAAATGCCAGTGGCATAGCTTTCAGCACCACAGCAACGTGCAGCTGCCACAGGATAACAACCTACAGACAGCGCCCACCTCCTTCACTGTGGTCTCCAAAATGCCCCCAGAATGGCTTACTCTGTGATGGGCAAACTGCCCTACAGCCTCAACCTCCTGTCTGAGTGGCTCCTTGCATTAACTGAGAGCTTCCTCAGCTCTGATGTCCTTGCCGCTCTTGCAGCTCTCCATGTGGAAACTTTTTGTCTCACGTCTAAAGTGCTCAGGGCTAAGAGGTGGACTAGACGGCTTTGCATCCCATAGCTTCCTTCAAACCACTTCACTCCTTCTCCTCTTTCTTCAAGACTCATCCCCCTGACCCCCATCACCAATATTTAATGTCCTCCCTCCCATCTCATCCATTGAAGACTTCAGCTTTCACAGTCTTTCTCCTCACCTCCTCCTCCTATGTCATCCTTAGAACTTTGTCATTCTTGCAGAGAACACGTTTTCATCCACACTCCCATGGCCATTTCCTGAATTTATCAGACCCAGAGTTTGCACTACCTCTGAAGTCTTGGCTGCAAATATCTGGCTTTTTCACCGTTGTCCTTTTATCTTTTCAGCTCTTTCTCTGTAGACCTCCCACAGCCACGATTTGTTGATTTAACTGAGACTCCCAGTACCCTGACCTCACCCATTTTCATTATCACTTAACCCCTTTTTCCCCCTCTACCTGCCTTTTTTTTCTGCTTAAATTCTACGGGTGATTATGATGATGACTCCTTTGATAGTACCTATCTTTGCCTCTTTGCTCATTCTGCCTGGAGAAGTAGAGAAACTTGTCTGATTGGAATATTTGGGAAGGATATACTGGGCATGCTCAGCTCAACTCTGCCCTTTTTTGCCTTGGTAACAAGCCCGCCTACAAAAAGCACATGTTCCCCTGTACCCCTGTAAGGGCAGGCTGTGTCTGTGCAAAGACGGGAGGAGGCCTGCCCTGGCTGAGGGCTGCACTGTGGTGGGGGACAGGCTAATTCTGGAAACTCATTTCTGTTTTCCCTTTTGCCCAGGGTCTTCCAGTCCTACTGATCTTTGATTTCCTGGAATAACCCAACTCTTCACGTCCTCAGGGCCTTTGCCTTTCTCTGCCTGATTCACTCTTTCTTCTGTTCCTGTTTCGGCTAGGTTTTAATTTTTTCAGGCCTCAGTGTACACCTCTCTAAAGAAGTCTTCCCTGACTTCGCTATTTAAGGTAGGTTGTGCTTATCTCAGCCTTTTGTGGAGTTTAGTTTGAACTGAATGTGTTGATCTGGAACTCAAAAGAGAAGGCATATACTAATTAGGATTCAACATACGGAAGCATATAAGATGGCCCAAGGAAACAGTGTTGAATAAGTAGGGGGCCAAGATC